ATGGAAATGCTAGTGCCTTTAATTATATTCATACCCACTAAGTCTTTTCAGGCACAAAGAAGAGCCTATGTGCTTAAAGTGTTATGAGCTAAATATTTTTAAGAAGAAAAAAACAGGAAAAAAAAAAAAAAAAAAAAGGCACCAGGCGGTGGTGGCACTGGGGAGGCTGAGGCAGGAGGATCTATCTCTGTGAGTTCGAGGCCAGCCTGGTCTACAGAGCAAGTGCCAGGACAGGCTCCAAAGCTACACAGAGAAACCTTGTTTCGAAAAAACAAAACAGAACAAAACAAAAAAGGGCGGAATGATGGTTGGACATTAAGAGCAATGGTTGCTCTTCCAGAAGACCCAGGTTAGATTCCTCGCACCCACGTGTCAGCCAATACCACCCACAACTCCTATTTCAGGGGATCCAGTACCTTTTCAGGCTCCAGAGGTAGCACACTAATGTGGTACACAGTAACACAGACATACATGCAAGTTAAAAACCCATTCACACAAAATAAACAAGTCTTAAAAGAAAAAAAAAAAAAAAAGGCACCATGGAGAATATTTAGTAACTATGATCCAAGCAAAAACAAAAAATAAAGCCACCCCCTAAGAGGATCATCCATTAGTGCCTTTTTAAAAGCACGCTAGATGGTGACTGTCTTAAAGGCTGGGCTGAGATCCACAACTGCTCTTATTCAGGGGAGGTTAATAGTTTGAACATCCATCCTGTATCTATCTATAATAAATTTAGGCAATGATCCCCTTATATGACAGTAAAGCAGATCAAGGCCTGTCTACGAATTTCATGTTCTAAATGTTTTGGGTTACATATCTGACATGCCCTGTTATATCTGCAACAGGAGCTTACTACAGGAGCCCTATGAAAGTGGTCTTCATTGCACTGGACAGAGAGGTTCTCTGTTCCAACTAAGCCAGAACAGGTCAATGATACATTGTTTATAACAAAGCTTCATTATTTGAAAGCATCAACAATTCTCAACCCAAATCTTCAAATTTCTCTGTATATAAAGTTCAGAAATTTTTATAAAATTTAAAATAATTGTAAGAGGAAATACTGATTCCTTTCAGTAATGTCTCAATAATCAGAAAGGTACTTTACCAGCGAGTTCGCCTCCAATGATTAATTAAAAAAAGCTTGAATTAACTACATTGCAAAGTTCAAAAAGGACTGAAAGTGTGAAATATATGCAATCCATCATAAAATAGTTCCCTTTTGACGTCAGAACTTTATTTTACAGGCTGTATAAGGCTAGTTTATGAAGGTGTTACAAACCAGGGTGATCTGTCAAGGATTTTCAATACAAAGAAAAAAATAATAAGTAGCAAAGAGAGCTTTCTTTCTCTTATGTATAACCATCTGCTAGTAATGTGAGCATTCAGTCTTGTCTCTCTACATGAACCATACTGTCGTTACTGTAAGTTCTAGACCTGCGGTAGCAAAACACATAGAACATAGTAAATTTTTACTAAAACTGCAGGTACTTAGCTGAAATTGAGGCATACGTCACTTTAGAAAGCAGTATGTGAGAACAGTATTGTTATAGCACCACAAAAGGCCAGTATACCATGACAAAACATGGTTCCTTTTGTGTCTTATTCTTTAAACTCCGTCTATTGTGAAGGCATGTAGTAGGATGACAACTGACAGTTTGTCATAAACATTAACATCCTAAGAGATCTGAGTGATGTGCTAAATGCTAAAATTATGGAAACCCATCCCAAGGACACAGTGGTAAGCACACCCTTTCAACATGGCCAACACCTGCCATCATCTGTGACAGCTTACAGCTTCTTCAGATCCTCTTCCCTTCCACAAGAAGTCAATCAGAGCACTGTATAACTAGTGACTGGCATGAAATAAATTCTCTCCAATACTCCTAATGGAATGGTTCCTCTACAAATGCCATAAAATACATTAGCAACCTGGATGACAGAGTTCCACGGCCTAAGAGGTGTAACAACTCATATCTCGGTCATGGCTGCACGGCCAGAAAAATGAGCATCAGGATGGACTCCTGCATTCTTCACATTGTGCTCGTGTACAAAGTCAGTGTAGTTTCTATGTGCGGTCTGGGGTCGGGACAAGGCCCTTGTGCTCCACTGGTTTCCACCACGTTGACAGCAGTCACTGGTAGCAGAGAGCCTAGATGGTTGAGGAGTGGGGAGTACAGTTAGTCAACAGGAACAGAGAACATGGATGTGTAAAGGAGAAAGGCAAGGTGAGCGGTTACCGTGCAATGATAATGTTCAAGAGTAGCAGAGGGGGGATGCACAGTTACATGCTTCATGTGATGGAAAGCACCAATAGAAAACACATGTAACTAGAATCAGTTAAGTGAATTAATTAATGAAGGAAAGTCACAGATGGCAAAACACTCTGTTATCATCCCTGCTGTTGCTGGGACACCAAGTAGAAATGTTGTTTGGAATTCTAGTGAGAAAAAAAAAATCTAAGTAAAGCTTTATTCAAATATTAGAAGGGATTCTAGTGAAAGGCAGAAAGACAAAGACATATGGAAAGGATAATTACAAAATGATCTCCAAACTTACATGATTTAAAAAAAAAATATAATCCAGGAAACAAAATTTAGGAGGATTAAACAAACAAAAAAACAAACAAAAAACCTGGCCTTAGACACCAAGCAAGCTTACATCAGCGCTCCAAATTAATAGTAATTCTTGTACTCCCTGTAATTAGTGACAGGGTTACAAACTGGCACGCAGCAGGCACAGAGAGCATGCACAAGTGCCCAGCACAGGGACTAGAGGGCAGACATGCACACATGCCGTTCCAGACGGAGTCACAAGAGTCCTCCAGCAGAAAGAAAAGCCTGCTATGGCTCAAAAACCAAACTTTTGTGATGTGACAAGGACAGCACATACTTCACTTAACTACCAAGGGAAAAAGGTCATTCCAAATACAAAGATACCTAAGATCTAGATTAAAAATAAAAAGTATTACTTTTCAAAAAAAAAAATCAATGAAATATTAACTTAGTTTTTTAATCTATTTACTTATGGGAACTGAAAAGACTTTTCAAAACAAACCTGGAAGGTATATTGCTTGCTTTTTAACATAATTTTGTTTCCTTTCACTGAAATACAACTTGCTCATCAGACAGACCTGACAAACAAAATTCACGACCCTTGATTTAGAGTCTCTAAAAGTTTAGAAATTAATTTTGGCTTATATTCTGGTTTATAGATGCAACATTTTCTAAGTTCTACTTTTTTGTGTTTTGATAGGGTTGGGTCTCCCTACACATCCAGGAGGGCCTGGGATCAGGATCTACCTCTGCGGTCTTCTCAAGCACTGGGACTATAGGCAGCTTTATTTTGTTTTGTTTTGGGATAGGGTTACTTTGTTACTCAGGCTGGAGTCAAATCCCAGGACCCAGTAGAGTCTATTCTCAGCCTCTCAAGCACAGGCCACTGTCATATGACTTCTACACGCTGTCCTGTCACCCTGTCACCCTGCCACCCGTCTCCACGTTTCGTCACGTCTTTCTAAAGGAGGACTGTTTCTAGCCTCCGCACTCCAAGCGTGAAGAAACACAGAACGGGAGACAGAGCGCCCTTACATGAAGGCTGAAGAATCGCTAGCTCTAAGACATGTCAGTGTGTTCAGGCCCAAGCCCTGCTGACATACTCTGAGGCTCGTCAGGTTTTCAGGGTCATCTCTACTCCATTCAGCAAAGGAGGCATCAGCATAACCATAAAAAGGAAGAGGACACATGGCTCCAAGGAGTTTTCATTTTTCTTGTAACTCAAATTCAATATACCCTAAAGCTACTCCAAAGGAACTGGTAGTGCCTAACAAATCAAATCAAACAGATTTAAATATGTACTCATTAAAATGGAATTCAATAAAGATTCAGCATCGTAACACAGGATGTAAACTAATGAGATTCTCACTCACTTGGTATTAAAGAAAGATGTGTATATTAAGACAGTTCTTTTACAGCTGAAGTCTGGTTACTCTCTGTTACAATAGGCTCCAGCAGCACATTAAAAGGATGGGATATAACTGCTTGCTGGGCTGTTATCTTCAGCAAGAAACTGAAAATTACAATGTCTCAAAGGCTAAAATTTGACATTTGTAGGCTTCATTTGTTATTCTTTTGGTATGTACATGTGTAACACACATAAATACTCTATATCATGTTCCCATGTATATGTATTTATATTTGTATATGTATATGTAACAAAACAAGAGAGGATCCCTCTCGATTTTAACTGCAAGTTATCTGGAACTGAAAAAAAATATACCCAACCATCACAAGCAAAGCATCCTGTCGTTAGTTAAGCCAACAACACCAGTGGAAAGATTGCACAGCACAGACCAGAGATAGTCGCCACCCACTGCTGACCCACCACCGTGAAGGAAGAACTGGCTGCACAGAAAGCCGGCCCAAACCTTGAAATCACCACAGAAACGCATTAGGTTTCAAGTATTAACAAGAGAAGAGAGGAAAATCCCATGAATCATCCAAGTGCATCATATAAACAGACACAAAGCCCGAACAGATGATATATCCATGGGACCAATCACTTCCAAGGAACCCTCCCTAAGTCACAGGGCTTTCCAGGAAAGCACAGACCCAACAGATTGAACCCAACAGGCCACAAAGTATCCATATTTGTGTGTTTGCTGTTGATATACTTTACTTTCATTGAACTAGTACTTAGCTCTCCAAACTGGGATGTTTTTCTTTTTCTTTTTCTTTTTTTAGACTTTAGTCAGCCACTCCGGGATCACACTAACGGAAGTAAAAAAGCCATCTGTCTTATGTTCTGCCTTTAGACAACTGTCCTCCCTTCTTCATCCACAAACCATAGGCTCACCATCCCTGACTGCTCAGTCCGCTCCTTTTTGGCTCACAAATATGAATAATTTGTTTTCAATCACATTTAAAGTGCTTTAAGATTATTGCTTAAAAGTTTAGAATACAATTACACCAGCAATATTTTGGTTTAGGAAGTTAACAAACCATTTCCTGTCGTGTTGGTCTGCTGCGGAATTCTGTGGAAGATTCTCTATCTCCACCAGCACAGGACCAGAGGATGAGGAAGAACTCATAGGCACAGGAGACCTCACACCCCAAGCCTTTGGGAAAAATCATAAAATTCATTTGTTTTGCCTATAAGTAAGGTCAAATACTAACAAACAGAAATAGCAACACCAAGGAATATAACTATATAAATCTATACAGCACATAAATGTTTGAATTTTAGTATACTAATTTTAGATAAGAAGTGAACATTCACAATGTGCTGATACCCCAGATTTATAATAACAGAAAATGTTTTATTCACAGAATCTTAGTAAAACAAGGAGAAGTGGTAGGAGTAAGAAAATAGACAAAACTTGTTAAATATCACACACTACAAAACTCCAACTAAAACAGCATGACAGTCACTGAAATTAACTATGTGCTCTGGCGTTTTAGAAACTTACTATTTATTATCTTACCTGTTGGGAGTCATTTTTCTGGGTTGAAGCATTATGAACACTATAATAAAGGGGGAAAAAACTATTAAAAAAAACCTATATATAAGGATTTGGAGGGAAGAAAAGGAGCAATGTCTTGACACAATCTTTTTTTTTTTTTTAAAGCTAACCAAACAAACATGAACATAGACCCAAATTGGAACTGAATTAATTACAAACTATTTACTTAAGTCCATGCTTGAATCATTGTATCATTGAGAAAATAAAATCCAAGAGCATAATTGTGTAGTCTTTGGTAAGACTGACACCTGTAATTTTACATTAACTTTTAATGTTGAATATGTATAATTAAAATCTTTCTTCTACTACTAATAAAGCATTATAGGTTTAAAAACCCTACATATAGAATTCTAGGTTATTATATTCTAATTTTTTTTTAAACTTACAGGAAGACCTTTTCTTAAAAGATCTATCGGTCGATTGATTGTGTGACCAGTGTTCTGCCTGCATGTGTCCCTGCAGGCCAGAAGAGAGCACCAGATCTTTAATTTACAGATGGTTGTGAGCCACCATATGATTGCTGGGACTGAACTCAGGACCTCTGGAAGAGAGCAGCTAGTGCTCTTAACCTCTGAGCCATCTCTCCAGCCCCTTTATTGAAAATTTAAACATTTACTTTGTGAATGTGTGGCGACCACGACAACTGGCCAGAGGGTCTCTCCTTCCACTCTATGATATGGGTCTCAAGGACTGAACACAGGTTCTGCAGCACGTGTCTTTATCCGCCATCTCCCATTTTAAAGAATGACTCATTCTATATTTATGTGTACGTGTATCCATGTGTGCACACAGGTATGAAGGTACCAGGAAAACCAGAAGGCGGCTTGTATCCCTTGGGGCTGGAGTTACAGGCATTTATGAGCTACCCGATGTGGGAGCTGGGACTCAAACTTGGGTCCTCTGGAACAACAGCCAGCATTCCTAAACACTGAATCTCAATTATTTTATTACTGACTATTAAGGGTGCTGGATTTCCAGGAGACCCAAGTTGAATCCCAGCTCCTTTTCTCAGACTATAGTATCCTGGTGAAAGTGACATCCTAGTCTACACATTAAATCCCTCTAAGCCTACTTGCAATAGAAGTTAGCCTCAATGAGTCTATGGTTCCTTTGTTACTTTCAAACATTTCGTTCAGCTTGGAATAACTTCTGCAGTAGCTTCCAACCCCCCCCCCCCCCAATTCAAACAATTTAAACTTGAGAAAAACATCTCTCACAATAAGCCATATTAACTACATCAAAACTTCCTGTTTAGAACACCCTACTTTTCTCATAATTTCTTAAGAATTAAAAAGTAGGGCTTCGGATGTATTTCATTGGTAGAATGCTGGTCTAGGATCCAGGAGGCCCTGGGTTTGATGTTTAGTGCCACAGACCGAAACAAAGCAAGCATCATTAATGAAGAGACAATTAAGGTAGGTTAGTTCAAGACATCTGATGAAGGGACCAGTGTTCGTTCGGCACAGGACACTCTAGACCAAGCTCTCAGCACTAAGGAAATTTATTGCCCCAGAGGGACAAAGGGCAAGGAATGAGAAACAAACACAGGAGATGGAGGACAAAGGAGAATGGAAAAGGAACAAGGGAGAAGGGGAAGGGATATTTGTCCCTGGGGGCGGGGACATAGGACTGCCTCTAGATGCAGGAGACAGACAAGACACATGGAAAAATCATGGTTTATAAAGGTAAAAAGGAAAACCCTGTGTTAGGATGAGGTGTTTAATTTTAACTGGGCATGTTAATTAGGGCAGTCAAAGGGGGTTCTGATCGTTGGATTTCAATACTTTGATATCAGTCTCAGGAGGAGGAAGCAGTCAAACAATGGGAGAGACCTTATGGCCAGCTTTAGGAATGCAAGGCCTCTTCATTTAGAAAAAGACCTTGAACATCAACTAGCCTTTTCTTAATGTATTTTTAGTGGAACCTCATGAGAGACTGACAGCAGCAATCTATAAACCTGTTATCCAAACTGGGTATATTTTATGAAACAGCAAAGTACAAGGTCGAGAAATGCTTTAGGTCAAATAGTTAGACACTATAAAAAAGGCACTGTTCTCCATGGTCCACTGAAGCAAAACCATTCATGCAGACAGAACGAACGCCAAGGGCAAGGGCGAAGGGCATACATGCCAGTTAAGTTCAGGTTATCCCAAGACTGCATGAGAGGTAGGTACCTAGTAACCTTCAGGGGTGATGAGTTGTCTTATTACTTAACTTCTGAAAGACACACTAACACACTTTTTAAATTAAGGTTTATTTATGTATATGTGCCATGTATTACTTATACATGCATCCTTGGAGGACAACTCAGATCATCTGGAGCTGTGAGCAACTAAGCTTAGTCTTTTTTGATTTTTGAAATTATAATTGTATTATTTCTCCCTTCCCTTTCCTCCCTCCAAAGGGCCATCATTTTTTTGTTTGTTTTTCAAGACAGGGTTTCTCTGTGTAGCTTTGGAGCATGTATTGGAGCTCTCTCTGATGATAGGCTGGCCTCGAACTCAGAGAGATCCACCTGCCTCCCAAGTGCGGAGATTAAAGGTGTGACCACCACTGCCCTGCATGGGCCATCATTTCTTAAATACCCTGTTTATGTGGTCTTCTAGAGCCAAAAGCATCACTAATGAATAAGCATCACTAATGAATAGACAATGACATTCTAAAGCAAAATTAACTTTAATTCCAGAAAACAGACCATGCTCATATTCACTCTGACTAAAAATGTGTATTTTAGGAAATCTTAAGAGCAGGAAATTTAACTTTGCAAATAAAAAACTCTTAACTGTTCCATATCATGTCACTGCTTAAATGTTTTCTTTATATTTCTATTACTTTCATGAAATATCTTTAAGGTGAAATGTCATGTCCTAGTTGGTTTCAAGAAAACAAGATGCAATCTACTAAATAAAGGGACTGAAATAATACACAACACACTTTCTAACCAAAACAATTGAAAATTTAAGATATGCACAATTATGAGGAAATTAAGCAATATATTCCTAAGTAACCAATAGTTCTAAAGAGAAATCATGGATTAGAAAACAATGTGGGAATGAATGAAAAAATTCAAACAAAACATACCAATAGTGCTCAAGGGGAATTTTACAGCTACAAGCTTATGCCTGGTGTGATTGGTTCAGGCCTGTAACCCCAGCAGCAGAAAGGCTGAAGCACCAGGGTCAGAAATTCAAATTTAGTCAAGGTGCATAGCAATCTTGGGATCTGTCTGGGCCTTATGAGACCCTATCTCAAAAACATGAGAAATAAACAGACAAAAGTCTCAAATCACTTGACCCCACCTTAAGATCATACATAGGGAACAAGAAGTTGGGTGTGGTGGTGCATCCTTCTAAAGCCCACAAGTTTAAGGCTAGGTTGGATCCTCTTAAGATCTTGTTTCAAATAACTAACAAACAGGCTGGGCCTGGTGAGCAAGCTTTGAGTTCCAGGCAGCCAGGGCTGCAAAGTGAGACTCTGTAGAGAACTTGCCTAGCTAGCACTCATGAGGCCCAGGGTAACAAACAAACAAAAAAGGAAGGCAGGAAGAAGAGGAAGTATCCAGAGCAAACTAAATCTTATGAGTACGAAGAAACACATATGAGCAAGAATTAATGAAAGGCTAACAAACTGACAATAGTCAGGGGATTGACTAAGAAAAAAGGGAGAAATCAGTTATAATTAAAAAGGGATATAGTACTATTTGTCTTAAAGAAACGAGACTGGAAAAATATGAAGTACATTCCCAGTTAAAATGTCTACAAGAGGTGACTGAATTAAGAATTTAAAAACTGGACTAGAAAAAAATCCAGGTTAGGTGACTTTAATGGAGATTATCACAGTGTTAGGAAAGAATTCCTTACAAACTCTCCTCACAAAATATGAGAAGAAGGACTATTTACAAACTTATTTTGTTAGGTCATAAATAGCTCTTATACCAAAACTGGATAAAGAGTCTATGAGAAGCACAGATCTCTGATGAATACAGACCAGAACCACACACACTAAAATGCAGATCCAGTAACAAGGAAGTGGCAATTACATACCATGACTGAGTGGAATCCAGCCTAGAATAAAATTGCTTACCTGCAAACCCACCGTGCTTCTTTGACATTCTCAGTATGAATAACATAGCTACTCAACTTTTGTTAAGTAACTGAATTTTTCTGAATGTCAATTTTATCTGGTGTTTATTTGTTCCCTATTATCCTCCCAATGCCTATGAAAAATCTGACATTTGGCAAGGTCTTCAACAAATATTTATTTAATTAATAATAGAAACTATATAAACTGCCCAACTATGTAAATTATCTCAGTTCCTATATTGCAAGGCATTACTCACCCAAGATCTTCAGGTTTTGTTGTGCTTGCTGACAAGAGAAAAGATAACATCTTATTAGTCCACCCCGCATGACAAATTGCTACACTATTCAAAGTAAACTGTGACTAACTGTGAAGACACACAGGCTGGGCTGCAGGTGAGACTAGTACCATCAACAGCATCCACTGCTATTCTTCATAAAACTGTGCACATCTATTCTTTTCCGGGATTTCACTTTTGTTTATGTACAGGGCAGGTCCCCTGGAGCTCAGAAGAGAGCATCGGATCACTTGGAGCTGGCGTCACTTGATGTGGGTGCTAGAACCAAATTCGGGTTCTCTGCAAGGGCAGTATGCTCTCTTACTGCCCACCACCTCTCCAGCCCCCACTCTACTTTTAAAGATTTTGTTCATTTAAAACATCTTGCCAGGCACTGGTGGGACATGCCTTTAATCCCAACACTTGGGAGGCAGAAGCAGGTAGATTTCTGTGAGTTTGAAGGCAACTTGGGACTACAGAGCAAGTTCCAGGACAGTCTCCAAAGCAATACAGAAAAACCCTGTCTCGGGGGAAAAAAAATCTTGTTTGTGTGCACGCATGCACACAGTACAGGTGCCTGCACAGACAAAAGGTGGTTGTGGTCTACCTGAGGCAGGCGCTAGGAACCAGATTCGGGGCCTCTGGAAGGGTGTTTGCTTTTTAACTGCTGAGCCACCTTTCCAGTTCAACATCTATTCACTTTTAAATTCCACTAAAAATGTATTTTCCTGTGTGTATGTCAGTCCCACAGAACATGTGTAAAGAGCGAGAACAATTTGTGGGAGTCCATCTTCTCCTTTTGAAACAGTGTGGGTCCTGAGGATCTAACTCAGGTCATCAGGCTAGGTGACAAGCAACTTCAGTCTGTTCTTTTAAACTGAATTTCTATAAGTCTCCTAGCTGAAGGTGACTGATTCTGAACTCTGTCAGTTGAAAAGATGAGGTCATAGGGCTTTAAGCCATCATGTAACTATTTTAATTTATGACTATATATTTAAATTTATGACCACACAAAATTTGAGTATGGAGCAGTTATTTTGGAAAAAAAGAAAAAAGAAAGAAAATACTGCTGTAATCAGATCATGGAATATTTTGGACAACTGACAACAATGACCTGACAGACAGGCTAAAATCCAATTTGTGTTTTAGTAGACATTCAAATTTGAAACCTAATGCAAGTTTTAGTTTAATTTGTTAATGGAAACTATGCTTTTCTTAAAGAGCTGAAGTATCTTAAGTGGCAGATAACATTTATGAATTTGTAAATGTCAATGCATGGCATTGATAACTAAACATTGTAAATTTTATTTAGTAGAATTTCTAACAGTAAATTAAATAGGAACAGAATCTTTATATTGTTTTATTGTGTGTCTTTTTGTGGGGTGTGTATATTTAGGTCAGAGGGTAACTGTGCAGTCTATTTTCCTTCACTAGTTAGGTCCTGAGGACTGAACCTAGGTCAATCAGACTTGGCAGGAAGCACCTTTATCCACTAAGCTATTTATAAAGTGCCTTTGTCTCACCAGCCTAATATGGAATAATTTTTACTGAAAAATCCTTTGGGGCTGGAGAGATGACTCAGAGGTTAAGAGTACTGGCTGCTCCTCCAGAGGACCTGGTTCAGGTCTCAGCATCCACGTGGCAGTTCACAACTGTAATTCCAGGTCCAGGATGCTGGCCTTCACATGGTACATACAATGACATACATGCACACACTCATATCCCTCCCAAATTAAAAAATTAACGTATTCATTACATGCAAATACTAAAAAAACATTCAAGGGCATGAAGAGGCATTTCATAATGAGAACTGAAAGACAAGAGAGAGAAAAGACTGCTCTAGTGCAGACATACTAAAAACTAAGTGAAACAGAAACAGTGCCCAGAGCATCATCTGGAATGAGCTTACTATCAAGTGTAATCCCAGCTACTTCCAGGAGCTGTTAGAATGTAGTTTATGAAGCTCATACACGGACAGTTTAGCTAACTGAAAGACTGAACAAGCCTCAGGCAGCTTCCTCTCCAGCAAACAGGGATGCTGGCAAATGAAGACTGGCCAGAAGGACAGACAAGCCTTTGCAACAACAGGGCTGCACTGCACCTTTCATTTGTATGGTCCGTCGGGAGTATCGCTTGCTGGGCCTTCTTTCAAAGGAGGTCGATCTTCTGGGTTTGTTAGTTTTTGTGGTCTGATACTCTGTTTTTCCACTAAAATAAATGAGGAAAGTCAACAGTAAGACAATCTAAGGCAACCAGACACAGGAGTAAGATGTCTGCATTCAGATTACCCTGCAAAGAAGCATCCAGAGGGGTTTTTGTTTTTTCTCTTCAAATAGTATTTTATTCTCCAAGCTTTGGTAAAGTATGTAACATTAATAATAAAGGATTTCTCCCAAGCATGTGTATCACCTATAAACATTAAACCAGGAAAAAATGCCCACGCTCTCAGGGAAGCAACCTCTAATTTCCTATTCACAAGAATCAATGCAAAATATGAAATTAAAACCAAGATTTCCAGTTATTCTCCTCTTGTGGTCCTGTAGATTAAACTGCAGGCCTTATTCATGCCAGCAAGCACTCTACCAATGGGTTATGTCCTCAGCCCTATCTTGTTATTTTTTTTCTATTATTTCCACAAAAATTTTCCAGAAATACTTTAAAAAACTAGTATTGTATTTCTTAGGTTTCCAGCTAAGAAGAAAACAATTGCCTCAGCATTCTTGACATGGGTAGAACAGAAATTATCTTAAGAATTCTCTGTGTTTGACTTGTTGCATTACTGACATCATCATCCCTTCTTCTACTGACTCCAATGGCATGCTGAAGACTCAACCTGACCAGCTATCGGATTTAACATGAACTGAAACATTTCAAACATTTCAAACAAAGGAGATGGTAAAAGCAATTGGTCTTCAGGTTTATAGAGAGCCACAATACTATTCATGCTAATACCCTATACATTTTCTGTATGAGAATAACCTGTTAGATGGAGAATTCACCTCATTACATAGATTTATATTGTGGCTTGATTATTATATATAAAATATATCAATATATAAATCAATAATATATCTGATTTCCCACCTAGTCAAAAATTATTAACAATAACATTATTTCTTTAAATAATTTGGCTAGTAAATATATTTGGCAACATACTTTGCTTCTCTGTCTTGGTTTCTACCTCAATAAAATCAGTGTTGGCCTAACTTTTCTGGCCTGTATGCAGGAGAGGGTGATGGCAAAACTTAGAGAAATTAACCTGTATCTAAATCGTGATCCTAGCCGAATGAATCCTGATCGATGAGAACTCTTTTGGACAGGTCCTCGGAGACGGAAGAAGGCATGGTGTTCCACTGCGCATTTCCATAAGTGTTTGCAGGCCTTTGGATGATCTAGTCTAAAGACAAAGGTATGCTCTTGTTCTTTACCCTGAAAAAGACAAAGCAGTGTGTATTAAGTCAGTTACATCTCTCCCATTTCTGCAATACAAATACAACCATAGCAGTACCAAATGGCAGCCAAGCATGTGGTGACTGCCAGCACTAGGGAGGCAGAGGCAGGTGGCTTTTTTGAGTTCAAGGGCAGCCTGGTCTACATAGTGAGTTCTGGGACAGCCAGGAAGGGAAGAATACTGGAAGAAAATATAGACAGTGACCTGTAAAGACATAGGTGTAGGAAAATATTTTCTCAAGTGGACACCAGTAGCTGAGCAGTTACAGTCAACAACTGGGGGGGGGGGAAGGACCTCATAAAACTAAAAGGCTTATTATGTATAGCAAAAGAAACAATCAGCTGTGTGAAGAGGGAGCCCACAGAGTGGGAGATGATATAAGCCAGCTATACTGACAGAGTACTAATATCCAGAATACAGAAAGAACTTTAAAAAAAGTCAAGGAAACAAGCAACCCAACTAAAAGTAGTCTAACGATCTGAACAGAGCTCTCAAAAGAAGAAATTAAAATGGCCAAGAAGTATTGTTAAAAATGTTCAACATCCTGTATAATTAACAAAATGCAAAGAAAGGCAAAAGTCAAAAAACAACCAGCAACAAATGATGGCAAGGATTTGAGGAAATGAAACCCCACTTCACTGTTGGTGTAACTGCAAACTGATGCAGCCACTCTGGAAATCAGTCTGGAAACATGTAAAACAAAAACAAATGATCAACAACAACAACAAAAAAGTAACTAAATATTATATGACCTAACTGACACACGTCCAAAGTACCTGCCATCAGTTACATCAGATACACGCTCATCAGTCATGTTCATGGTCACTATTTATAATAGCTAGGAAATGGAAACAACCCACATGCCCAACTGACAAATGGGCATGTGGTCATAATACACTATGAAATGAAATTTTCAGGTAAATAGTTAACAAGAAAATATTATCCTGAGGAAGCAACCCAGACTCAGAAAGACAACTGCTGCATGTTCTCTCATATTTGTGGGTTCTTGCGCCAAACTATAGGTTAGATTATATAACCTGGAGAAACCACGGAAATCAGCTAAGTAAAAAGGGACCATGGTGGGGGCAGGAGCACTAGAGAGATACTGTTGCTATGAAGGAGAAGGGAGGGAGGAGACAACACTAAGGATATTAGAAAAAGCCCCCCCCACCCCCGTCTCTCTCTCACACACACACAACACACTTTAAGTTAGGCTACTTGGGGTGACAACGTTCTCTTCCTCTGAAACTATATAGTACCCTAACAAGAAACCCTGGTAGTAGACATGGAAAACCTCCCTTCAAGTTGTTGGTTAGGAGAAACCAAGAGAGTCTCCTATGGCAAACAATGTAGGCTGTCGTGTTAGCTTTTGTGCCTTCCAGACAAAGAAGGTAACTGTGTATTACTAAAGACGCCACACACTATGGACAGAGGATCGAAGGAATGAATCAATGCGGATCTGACCTGGAAGCCGCCTTCCTGAGGACTAGCTCGCATAGTATATTGGAAGGAGCCATGAAAGCTGCCGAGAAAGAAAGGCTTAAGTAGTTCTACCTGGCTACAATGCCTATAAATCACAACAGAGGCCAGCATAGGAAGACATTACTAAAGGTACAGCAATGGCACTTACATCTGGTGACAACCAACAGTCACTTGACTGAACCTGAGGGCTGGTCACTAAAAGGAATTAATGCTTGGCATTGTAAACTCAGCCAACTACCTGTGGCTGGTGGGGACATGGAATCTAGGGAACCTACTACAGCCACATTCCTAAACCAGTGTAATTTCAAACTGTATCCCGATCTTTAGATCCACAAGTAAATGTGGTGCTCACCCCTCACCAAAGAAGCTGCTTTTGGAGGCAGACAGTATTACACAAAGATACATCTGGTCAAAATGCAGAGATCAAATTGGCCATGGGGTGCTGGACCTCAATTAATATATTTCAAAACAACCATTACAGTTTAAAGCTCAGGGAACATTGCAGTAGAGGGAGGTATTGTAAGAGCTAGAGGATCAGGACATTTGCTGAGGCAGAGTCTCTTATGAAAACAGCCTAGGCTACAAACTGGACACTGCCTCAAAATTGAAACCCAAACCACCACCACCACCACCACCTCCCAGCTTTCCACCTCTAGTTTAGGGAGAGTAAAGAATTTTCGTTGTCTGCTTTTGTTTTGCTGAAACAAGAGTCTCACTGTTGTTGAAGCAGCCACTACCTCCAAAGTTCTGCCATTAGAGGTATAGACTCCATGGTCAACAAGAACATGTGATATGGAATAAACAAACAAACCAGCCCAGCACAGGCTTTTAATCCCAGAACTTGGGAGGCAGAGGCAGTTGTACCTCTGAGTTCAAGGCCAGCCTGGTCTACAGTGATTTACAGGGCAAAAACCAAACAACAATAACAAAAACAGAGGTTTTTTTTTTTTTTTTTTTTTTTTTTAATTTGTGTGTTTGTGTGTGTGCGCCATGGCACACTCATGGAGGTCAGAGGATAATTTAAGTTGGTTTTTGCCTTCCGTCACCAGGGTTCCAGAATCTAACTCAAGTCATTAGGCTTTCAAACAAGCGCCTTTAAGCCCTGAGCCATCATCATCTCACTGGTCCAAACTATGATTTTGGTAAGAAAGTTTGAAGATCAAATTTCACCAAGATACAAAGGTAGTTATGTAAGTTCCGAGGAACTAAGAAAAGTATGAATCAAAAATACATTAAAAACAAAATAGAACTCAGGACCTTTTCATCTTTCGTGACTGGACCTCTAGGGAAATGTGAACTAGGTGGGGGGGGGGGGGATATTAAAAAAAAAAAAAAATCACACAACAGACACAGTAGTTTGAAATACTGTCAAACAAATGAGAAAAATGGGGGAATGGGAGGAACTTCCGGGGAGGCAATGAAGGGTGGATTTGATGAAAACACACAGATATGAAATTCTCAAATGCAAACTTTCTTTTTAAAAACTCAGACATCAAACTATTTACCATATCAAATTTTCATTAACTGTATTGTAAAGTTCTTTCATAATTCTATTTTTCTTGGTTATGTATTATTTTCATGCATAAAAATGTCATGAGCATGTGTCTACCTATTTTGCAGACTTGCTAAGATCATATATTCCTGTTCCCATTAACTAACTATACTATTAAAATAACATCTCCACTGGACAATCCGCAGCATTCAAATTCCCCTGAGAATATGAATGCGTCTCATTCATTCTTTGAAGTAGAAAGCATCACACAGTTATCAGCCATAAAAATTCTTTTTCTGTTTAATAAATGAACAGGGTTAGGTGTAACAAGAAAACCAAAGTGAATTGAATAGTAGTGCTTCCTATTCACCCATTTTTGATAAGCTATTACTTCATTTATTTAACACCAAAACCCCTCAGAAATGGTTTTATAACAGTGAACCGTCTAATGCCCATATTAAAAATTTTATAAAGAAGTATAGCTATCTAAGTAAGGGCCTCACCTTAAGCTACAGCCTCACTCTTGGCTAGTTACAATATTTAATCAGCTCCACATATATCCTCAATAACAGAGAAATAGAAGAAGGTCACTATCACAATACAATATATTATTTATCTGATCCCCAACAATTAAAGGAGTCAAACTTTAAACAGTAAAATCTAATATCTGCAAATTTTCAGAAAGACTGATTGATACAACTTGACTGTTACCTACTGCTGCTTATATAAATACACCTAAAAAGTCATTTATAAGCTGAATGGGAACATGACGTTATGCCCAAATATGAAAAAAGCTAAGAGAAATACATAAAAAAATCATTTTAAAATGGGACAATACTGAAATTATATAAAAAAGAAAGTTAACAACAACAACAAAAAAAATCAAATCACATTTTACTGTTAAAAAATACCACCAGGCCTATCTTTTTTTTTTATTTGTTTCTTTGAGACAAGGTCTCACTCGGCAGCACTCTTGTAGACCAGGCTGGCATTAAACTCAGAGATCCACCTGTCTCTGCCTCCAAAGTGTTTAGATAAAAGGTAACTGCATTGTTCTTTTAATTCTTTAGTCAGGAATTAAGGAACAGAGTCACCTAAATATAACCTTTGTACACTATAGGTACATTACCAACAAAGAAATGATAAATGGTAAGCTTTCATATTACCTTTAAGATTAAAGGCCCAAAAGTACATTTTTAGGATGGATGAACTGAATGAGGAGCCTGCATCTAAGTAAAATGCCAAGTTTTGTTCTATGAGGCACACCCCCACTTGTTACCATGCAGCTACTGTTAAGTACATAATGCAGGACAATGCCTACCTGATCATCATCTTCCACAACCACAAGAGTTAATTTATTCTTCTTAAAATCCAATCTGGTTATCTTGGGCCTGTAATAACATGAGATCAATAGCCAGATGAGGGGAAACCCTTTTAACTACATCAAACATGCCTCCCTATTTCCGAACACTGGTAAGAAGGTTAAGACAGCCAGCACTGCCTGTTGAAGTCTCTAAAGGGAAGCTAACACACACCTCAAAAGCAACCAACTCACAAACTGATGTTGCCCCTATGTTAGACATTAAAATATGATGGAAATGTGATATATATATGTATTTTGCATACCCCTAATAATGTGGTATAGTGAATTCTGTAACCCTAGGTAAAAATTTCAGGGTTAAATAGCACTGGTATTAAATATAACAAAAAGCCATTAAGTGTTTTTAAAGGGTATAAAAGAAAATGTCACAGGTTAGAGGCATCTATTTTTACCAGTAACACCTGGATGTGAATGAGTTTGGCTAGGAAGGCTCGAAGCCAACAGTTATGGCACGTTACAAAAGAAGTAACAGGGGCCATCTTTGGCTCTTGTCTGTAACATATGTAAATGCTGCATTAGTTCTAACAAAAATGTAATAACGCAAACAATTTCCCAACTCTATGCTTTAGGGTCCTGAAACCTGTGCAGCATCTCTCAGAACAGAAGTGGGGAAGAGGAGGAGCTAAGCTTGACAGCAGGAGCAGCACAAGCACTAACTTCTCCCCCCCCTTTTCCTGCCACAGGCAAGAGAGGCCTTGAACACTACTAACAGTAAGAGCCACATAGAGGGGTCACCGTGCAAAGAACATTTCATAAGTTCACAAACATGAGATAAGCACACCGAGACCCACACTGACACACTTTTGACACTACCAGGACACAAAGCTAGAGGACTCTGAAACACTTGCAAACTTCTCATGATTAACGATATAAATCCTTTGATATTCACACTGCTTACCAGAAGAACAAGCCGATTTTGGTTTCTCCTTCAAAAACAAGGACTCCTGTTGGAGTTAGTCCCAAGCTATAGTCATTCCCATCTCTAGCCTAATTTAAGGAGAAAATATAAAATGCATCATGTTTGCACACAAGAAACAGGTTTCAGATTTCCACACAACTGTTTCCCCCCTATACACAGGCTAATATATTGTGTTCAAGATGTTTTCACCAAATAATCCTCTTGAAGCTACAAAGCATAAACCGTGCTTCCTAAGGAGTTTTTCTTTTAGCAAAGTCTACTCAATAGTGAGCTTCGGTGATATAAAACAGCATCAAATAGTTAAGAATAAAAGTAAGCTAAGTCTAAGGAAATGTTTTTCTCAGCGTAAACATCAGCATCAGCATCCGGATATATACATTTCCGGAATCTTTCTATAGATTCTAGTCTTTTGTTTTAGTTTTAATTTTTTAGAGACAGGGTTTCTCTACATATCCCTGGCTGCCATGGAATTCATTTTGTAGACCAGGCTGGTTTCAAACTCACAGAGATCCACTCTGCTTTCCAGTGTTGGGATCAAAGGCATACACCACCACTCACAGCAGATTCTATTCTTTCAATAATATCTAATTTCAACCATTTTTTTCTGTTACCTACCACACATCAAAAATACTCAGAGGTATTCTATACAAACTCCATGCCTTCCCTCATACTACAAAATTCATAGTTGCATTAAAAATCTCAGAGGAATGAATTAATTTTTAAAGAAGGATTTATTTTTATTAATTTTAAATTATGTTCATGGACACATTGAGTACCAGCACCTACAGGGTCCAGAAGAAGGGCATGAGACCCTCTGGAGATGGAGCTATAGGTACTTGTGTATAGCTCGACACAAGTGCTGGGAACCAAACTCAGGACTTCTACAAGAGCAGCATACGCTCCTAACTGCTGAGCCATCCCTCTGGCCCCAGGAAGAAATCTTTAAAAAAATGTACTACAAACAGGGCTTACCTTGACCACATGCATATCAACTCCATACATTTCTAGCCATTTGGCTTTATTCAGATAATTGGTTTCAGCCTGTGCTGGTGTCTGACCTCTGAAATTTAAAATGTAGTAATTATAATGTAATAAGCATAAAGTGATTTTTAGTGAAAAGTAGAAACAAAAGAAAAATACAAAATAATGACATTGGTGATGTTTTCAAAAAGTGTGATCAAATTATGAGTTACCTGTATTCCTTCCATTTCTCAAAAATAGCCAGTTCCATGTCTTCTGTCTGAATGGGCACAAACCTGAACTCAGAGACAAGTTCAGGACTATGTTCAGCAAGATCATAGTCACCAAGTTCAGCTACAAATACAAGTTAACAAAGTTATGCTGTGTTAATAATACTAAGAAAAGTTGGATGGTGGTGGCACATGCTTTTAATCCCAGCACTTGGGAGGCAGAGGCAGGCAGATCTCTGAGTTCCAGGATGGCCAGGGCTGCTACACAGAGAAACCCTGTCTCAACCCCCCCCCCCCCCAAATAACAACACTAAGAAAATACTAGCAAGGCAGCGGTGGCGTACACCATTAATCCCAGCACTCTGGAGGCAGAGGCAGAGGCAGACGTATTTCTGTGAATTCGAGGCCAGCCTAGTCTACAGAGTGCCAGGACAGCCAGGGATACACAGAAAAAGCCTTTAAGAAAATCCTTTATAAACAACATATTTTATAAACAAACAAAGATTAAGAGGATTAGTAAAATTCTTTCTTAAGCTAAGATTTGGGCTGCACACAAACGCAGCCGTTCCAATAAGAATGGCACCCATAGGCTCAGATATCCGAGTGCTTGGTCTAAAGTTGATGTAACTGTTTGGGAAGGATTAGGTGGTAGCCTTGTTTGAGGCGTATTAGTGGGGTGGGATTTGAGGTCTATGATTTCCATGCCATTCCCAGTTACAGCTCTATGCCTCGCTCTTGTGGGTTAGATGCAAGCTCTAAGCTACTACTCCAGTGCCATGCCTGTGTGCCTGCTGCCATACTCCCTGCCATGATAGCCAATCACTCCAACCTTCTGGAACTCTGAGTGCCAAATTCAACGCTTCCTTTGTAAGTTGCCTTGGTAATGTATTTTGTCAGGTCAATAGAAGAGTAAGACAACATAAATCACATTTGTTAGCGGTGTATTCTTAATTACCTTACTCCTGATTTACTTATATATTAATGCTTAGCTTTTGAAAATAAATTTCTGTATCTCCAAAGAGAAAACACCTTTGATCTTATTAATTCAGATAATCAGCTTCTATCTATAAAAAACTACCCAAGATTCACAGTATATTATAAGATACAATACTTGTCTGGAATGCAAAATTACTAATTCTAAAAAAATTGAAAAAAATACAGAGAATATTCCCATAATGAATAATAATGGTAACCACTCATTTTGTTCCTATCCCCTCTAGATTAATGCTTGGAGCAGTAGTGAGTCAAATGCTTTAGAATAAAAACAAAACAAAAAACCTTCAAAAACCCTATGTGTGTGCGGTGAGAGGGTAAGCACTCGCGTGAGGGCACACACCTATGCCTGCACATGCAGAGACGATGTCAGATGTCTCCCTCCATTGCTTTCTCTCTCACCGCCTTAAGTCCAGGTGTTTTGGATGGCCATCAAGTTCTTGGGCCTGCCTCTCTCAGCTCCAAAATTCTAGGAGCCCTTGCCAGATCTTTATATGGGTGCCGGGGATTGTTATCTCTCTATCTGCAGACCAAGAAACCTCACTCACCAGGCGACATCCCCAGTCCCATATAAACTATTTTTAAGCATATACTTTGGCCGTCACAAGGGACAAACAAAATATAGCTAGCATTTTCAAACTAATGCCTTCCCTTCATTATGCAGATAGAAAATAAGTTTTAATTAGGAGACATCAAAATAGTGAAAAAAAATCAATCTCATCACCAGGAAAATATGCTGTCTTTAATAATGGATACAGAAAAGAAGCAAAACTATTAGGTTTACCGTAAGACACGCAAATTTGGTTTATTATCTACACAGTGACAAACACTACTGATTTTAGAACAAATGTACAACCTGAAGTCCTGAGCACATTCAATATAACTCTAATTACAGTATATACAGAGATATTCCGGAAATTTTTTTTCTTTCAATGGGTGAAACAAGAACTCAAATTATAGTTTTCCTTTAAAATTTTTTTAACTTTTAGGAGAAAATATTTCGATTGAAGTTTAAATATTTAAACTAAGTATGTTTCCCACTAACATTATTTATTAAGAATCATCTTACAGGGACCAATAGGCATTTTAAAATGTGCAATGGCCTGATCCCGTTTGAGCACATTCTGATTCTTCATGGATTCATTCATAAGAAGGGAAAAAGAGCCAGCTATGCAACAACCACGATAATTTACTCTGTAACTGCATTTTCTTTATGGAAAACAATCAGCTTGGGAAGAACAGGTGCTTGCACATCACTCAGGAGCACTGGCTGCTCTCCCAGAGGACCTGGTTTCGATTCCCAGAATGCACATGGCAGCTCTATTCCAGGAATCAACGAACACCTCTGCCCTCCATGGCACCAGGCACACACATGGTACGAAGACGTAAGAGCAGACAAAATACTTATATACTTAAAGTAGAACAAATCTAACGAGGGAGGGAGGGAGGAAGAGAGGGAGGGAGGGAGGGAGGGAGGGAGGAGCAAGAGGGATGGCTCAGTTAAAGAGCACCCACTGCCCTTCCAGATGACTCAGGTTTGATCCCAGCACCCACATGGCAGCTCCTAACTGTCTATGATTCCAGTTCCAGGGAATCTGACACACTCACACACACAAGAAGGCAAAACCACTAATACATGTATAATAAAAATTAATTTTTAAAAATTTAAAACAGCAAAGAATTGAGAGGAAAAGGAAATGAAAACAGTAAGCTTTTAAAGCCGTGTTTTAGAACAAAGCAGAAGTCAAGAGTTGGACACGGGTACAATGTTACACAAAAACTAGTGCTGTGCCTTTTCCAGTGTGTTGTCATGTTATTCTTCATGCCTCAGACATGCAGCACACAAAACAACTATGCAGATTACGCACTCACCTTGCAGATTATAAGCTGCCAACTGAACTGCTGTATCAAAGGGGCACTCTAATCTAGATCAAAACACAAATGGGCTAAGTCAATTTCAGCATCTTTAAGGTAAACAACAGTAATATATGTTGCACCTTGAACCCTGGCTTTACACAACTCTACACATCTGTACGTCTGTTAGTGCACTTGCCTACACTGGGCAAGTGGAGGCCCAAGGGCCATGCTGAGCATCTTCGCCTGTTCCTTTCCGCCATACTATTTTGGGGACTGTTTCTCCCAGAGTGTGGGGGCCACTGTTGTGGCTACAGCGGTCACAGAAACCACAGTGCCCCTGGGGTTTACACAGGTGCTGGGAAGGCAACTTCAGGTCCTTTCCTTGCTGAGTCATCGTCCCGCAGCCCTGCACTGAACTTATTTTCTAGGTTATTTTCCTACTATTCAAGAATTTTGCAGTTAGGTACTAAATAATTTAATACTTACTTCCCACTGAGAATATCTTGTTTTAACTGAAGAACAAATAAATACCTAAGGAAAATAAAAGACACAAAATAACTAAATAGAACAATTTACTATGAAAAAAATCCTATCATTTTAAACTTGAGAACACCCTTTTCTTTTTTGAGGCAGAATTTCACCATGCAGCACGAACGGCCAGAACTCAGCTCCATATGCCTCTGCCTCCCACGTGCTGGGATCAAGGGTGTGCACCACCACATCCCAGGAGAACATCTCTAATTACAGAATTTTACAGAGCAAGGTGCAAGGGGAAAACAATACACTGAGCACTGAGCACTGGGCACTGAGAAGAGGAAGGAAGGGGACACACCTGACGCTAAGAGAGGACAAGCAGGCCAGAACAGAGCAGCGCAGCGCGGCCTCGGAGAAATGCCAGGGGCCTGTACGTAAATGACAACACACTCACCTTCTATGCCAAGAGCTGTAAGGATACAGCAGCAACACTCACTGCCAGGAAAGTCAAAAGGAAACCCTTCCAAAGGTACTCTAACAACTCAGCCTTATCACTTAATGAGGAATGTACACAAGAAGCAATGTGTAGCTGGGCACACACCTTTAATCCCAGCACTCGGGAGGCAGAGACAGGTGGATATCTGTGAGTTCAAGGCCAGCCTGGTCTACAGAGAGTTCCAGGACAGTCCAAAGCTACAGAGAGAAACTCTGAAAAGAAGCAGTGCAGATGCTATAAGGAGCCAGGGTAAGACGAAGAAATGGACACCACCTGACTCACTAGTCACCGCTACTGAATGCATGACAATCAACTTCTTTTTCACAAGTAAAAAAATCATACACTTTAATATTTTAAGGTAAGGTCTCATACTGTAGCTTAGGCTAGCCTGAAACTCACGACGGGGCCCACACTGGCCTTGAATTCCCAGTAATCCTCCTGCCTTAGTTTCCAGAATGCTGAGAATAAGCATGAGCTATCTGACTTACCTGACTAGAATCTGACATTTTAAACATCTTGTTCCAGAATAAAAATTCGCCCGAGACCTTTCTGCTACGCTGAGGAATCCTAGGAGTGGCCTTCTAAGTCTTAACCCCCGACACCACCCTTCCTAGTGGGCTTACCGGGTTAGTTCCTCACGAAGATTGTTTGGTTCTGAGGAATAAAACTTAACTCGAAGATGAAGACAATAGGGTGAGCCAACTGCCATTACAAAAAGAAAAGAGAATTAATTTTTATTGATTTACTAGTAATTTTTCAGTCGGCGAATTTTCTGGAAATTGCTAAAGTATTAAAGAAAAGATCAGATTATTGTAGCATTATTTCAAAGAAGTAAATAGGCAGAAATTTGACACAAAAGTTTTAAAGTGTACCAACCACAGCACACCACGGCATCCATCTGTCATCTCAGGACAGACGGTCCTACATCAACTCTAACAGTTCAAGGTCAAATGCATAATGTGACGGTATAATCAAACAGCGTGGAAACCCTGCTGAGCCACACGTTTAGTTACTGCTCAAGGCCAGGCATCCCACACTTTCCACCCAGCCCAGTGCTCTCACTGACGGCTGTGCCCCAGTATTTTATAAAGACAGGAGTCTGACTCTACAGGGACAAGCGAGGGTGTGGGGACTGGACACTGTTATTTCCCCAAGTTCTGCCAAGTTAAGAGTGCTCCATTTTATGTGAATTACTTCATTTCATCACTTAAGACTTAACTATGTGTATGTGTGTGTTCTGTGTGTGTGTGGAGGGGCTGTCCTGGAACTCAAAGATATCCACCTGTCTCTGCCTCCTGAGTACTGGGACTAAAAGCGTACGCCACCACAGCCCGGCTCTAATGCCCTTTTCTGACCCGTGAGAGCACTAGGCACACACATGGTTCACATACATGCATGCAGGCACAGCACTCATACACCTAAAATAAGCATTTTGAGAAAAACTTTTGTAAGAATGACAGGTCTCTGGTGCTTGCCACAGGCTATGTTAGCCGACCGCACAGACATATACTTCTTAGCTCAGGCTACTACTGTGTATAGTTTGTAGCATGAATCTTCAGAAAGACAAGGGAAAAAATTCTTACAGCCTTAGGGTCTCAAAATGTTTCTAGAGGCAGGTAGAACGTCCCAAACCAAAAACAGACAAACAAAAAAAGAGGGGGGAAGCCCGACAAAATATTAACAAAACTATTGTCTAAAGTTAAATATTCCATAAAAGTCCAATCCAATTTGTGAGCTGCAAATATTTTCCCTATAAACTCAAATTACAAGACTCTTGAGTCCAGACTAATGGTAAACCTATATAAAGCGGGCACTGAATATCACAAAGAAACAAAGTTTAGTAAGTAGACATGCTAGCCAGACAGGTAGAACCAATCGAGCAGCACTTAGGAGGCATGGGAAAGCTTCTGAGCTTTAGACAATCCTAAATTGACATAAACTCCAGCCCATCCTACAAAAGCAGATGGTAAAGAAACTCAGATGAAACATGACTTCTCAATGATTTTACTAATAAGAATTAGTGTTTCTGACACTGAGTCGAACTCCTGGAATCCAGCTGCAGAGAGGGAGGAGTGATAAGAAAACAGATCAAGACCAGGCTACAGAAACCCACAGAAACACCTGACCCGAACAAGGGGAGCTCATGGACCTCTAGACTTATAGTTGGGAAACCAGCATTGGATCGACTCAGACCCCCTGTGTGGGTCTCCGTTAGAAGGCCTGGGCAGCCTAAGGGACCTCTGACAGTGGAACCAGGATGTATCCCTGGTGCATGATAGGACTTTGGGAGCACATTCCCCGTGGAGGGATACTCCCTCAGCCTAGAGGAGGGAGGGCCTAGTCCCTACTCCAAATGACTTGACAGATTTTGATGATCCCTCCTAGAAGGCATCACCATCCCTATGGAGTCGGGGGGGGGGGTGGATGGGGTAAGAGGGGGCAGGTTGGGGGACATGGGAAGGAGGGAGAGAGAACTGGGATCGATATGTAAAATAAGAAAAACTTATATATATATATAATTAGATATATCAGCACTATTGCACAAATGATTTCTCAACACTTACTTTTTACTTGCTTTTTGATGCTTTTTGTACCATCCAACCAATGCTGTAAATGGAAAAAATAAAGCTGAGTACTTATGCAAATGGTACAACTTTTATGTTTAACAAGAGTTATTGCTTATTACAACTTTGTTGACAACCACTATGCAGTATTTCACAAAGTAAAAACCAAAGGGACTGAATTCTTTCAAATTCCCTTCAAAGGGACTTAAACTATACCCTGAGTTTTCCCCAATTCCCAAATGACTGGCTCTCTGGAAACAGTTAAATTAGAGAAGAGGGTTAGAGGTATAAAGCTCAGCTGTACAGCGCTTGCCAGTACCACTATAAAGAATCACAGAAAATGAGAGAAAAAGCCCATTCCTTAAGACTGGCCGGCACAAGATATGTTACCTGAATTTTGCAAAATAATGACAGTTCAGTACTTGTTGAAAGAGCCTGAAGGCTTTAAAAGATGAGTTTTTTTTTTTCTTTCAAAATCATGACATTTTCTATCAAACAAGCAGCCACTATTCCTCTGCTTTATGAATAAAAATGTTAACAATGGACAAGCAGTTCTGCTTTCAACAGTAACAGCCTTTTTTTTTTTTTTTGTTGTTGTTGTTTTATTATGTGCTACAAACCAGTGTATATAAACTAGTTAAATCTTGTGAAACAAATCCATGAAAATTCAGAGAGGTAGACGTTGAAGACTGACAAGAAGAGGGATATTATACACACACACACACACACACACACACACACACACACACACACACACACAGAGAGAGAGAGAGAGAGAGAGAGAGAGAGAGAGAGAGAGAGAGAGAGAGATTATGGCATGTGTCATGGAGAAGCTTTTGTACAGGCTTCAGATTTAGTTCTCTAGAATATTCACTGGAGCACACTTTCTGGGGTCTGAAGGGGTTTGTACTTGAAGACACTCCAGTCAGCAGAGGGCCGTGTTGACTCTTCTGCAAACAGAACTGTTTCAAGTCTGCAGCTGCCTGGGAAACCTTCACATGGTTGAGCCTGGCCTCCAGCCAGAGCTGCTGAAACACCTCCTTCATGGTGGTGACACCAGAAGAACCTGACATGGCACTGGAGAGCAGCCTTTTAATTTCTATAACCTCTTCCTGACGTCTCCACTGACAAAGCATTCATCCCCAGCTCATTACAAACCCCTTACATCAGGCCCTCACAGCAACAGGCTGCATTGGTTCAGCTACATTACACATGTATGAGCTCACTTAGCATGCCTTCAATCCCAAGCTCCAGGGGAAGGGAGTGCTCTTTCGTTAACCAGTCCACAGAGCCACGGATGTAGTCTCAGTAATCCTGCTAGGCAAAGAAAAGATAAGGCCGCACTGCTACCAGTGCTGTTTGCTTTCCTTCCCTATTATCTGCCTTTTCTTTCCTTTCTTCCTCATGGTCCCAAGGCGAAATTTACAGAGCTCTCACTGTGGTAGCAGAGTGCCCGTCCACCCTCAAATAAGATGCTCTGTAAACATCTTAGGCAGCGACTGTGCAATGCTTGCTATCTTAGTTCTGACAGTGGGGGAAGATGGAACCCAGAGCCTCAAATATGCTGGACAAGAATGTGGCAGCTGAGCCACATCCCAGTCCTGTGTTATGTTTCCTCTGGATTCCAAGCTGTGTAGGTTACCTGGCCATCTCTTCAATATATTATTGGGTAACCCCTGCCACCACCTTTAAATATATTACAGTATGGCAAATAGTCAGTAGTACAAATCCTACTGATGGGCAGAAAACAGATTGAGAATGGCTTTAATCTGGGGCAGTATATAATGCTTTCATCTTGGCCCAGAAACCCAATATGCAAATACCATATGAACCTGCAGTTATAAAGGATATGGTGATTTCTTTTGGTCTTAATGGCCATTGTAACATGTGGTACACAGATATCCATGCAGTCAAAACACTCATACACAGAAAAGGAAAACAAAAATGAAAAAAAAAATTAAAGGATTACTAGTGTTATGAATACAATTTGTTGCTAGGAAAAAATAATCCCTTTATTATAACATTTGATATAGACAATCATATGGATTTTGGGGAGTAATAGTAAAAAGCAGGGGCTACAGTGATGATATTTTACAAGTTATGAGCACTTACTTCGTTTTCAGAGAATCTGAGTTCAGTTCCCAGCAACTATGCCAGCTGCTACCTCCAGCTCCAGGGCATCCAATGGCCTCTTCTGGCCTCCACTGGCACCAGTACTCACCCCCCCACACACACATTAAAAAACACACAGCCAACAACAGTCTCACCACCCCCAAGATCTGTCCCCTATAAACGGTATGCATTTCCCCAGATATGAATGGTTAGGGTCTTGCTTCCTTCTCAACTTCCTTCATTGGAAGAAGGAATTTCTCTTTGATGTGCCAGTATTTGAAGACCCGTTGAACAGTACACCGAAAACTCAACAGGCTAATTATAACTATCCCCTCCATCCGCTTTGTGACAGGACCTGACCGTGTAGCCCTGGCTGGTCTGGAACTCGATTGTAGACCAAGCAGGCGGGCCAACATCTCATAGAGACCCTCCTGCCACTGCCTCCTGTGCTGAGATTAAAGGTGTGCACTGTCACACTTGCCAATTAATTATAAGGATCAGATCACTTAGTAAAACCATTCCCAGTTGTTAAGACATCTTTTCCTAGTTGTATTGAAGCTATTCAAGACTAGCTTCAGGACCATTAAGATTGCTCAGCAGGAAAAGGCACTTGCTGCCAATCTGATGACTTAGACCTCTGACCACAGTGGAAGAGAGAACAGATTCCCCCAAGCTGACCTTGAGTTCCACATGCGTATCATGAGTTCCACATGCGTATCATGTGTGCATACACTCGAATATAAAATAAAGTATAATAAAGTATAACATAATAGGCTGGCCATTGGTGGCAGAGACCTTTAATCCCTGAACTTGGGAGGCAGAGGCAGGCGGATCTCTGTGAGTTCGAGGCCAGCCTGGTCTATAGAGCACTTTCCAGGACAGGCTCCAAAGCTACACAGAGAAACCCTGTCTCGAAAAACCAAAAGTATTAAATAATAAAGTCTAAAAATAAACAAAACCCAAAAGGCTATTCTCACAATTACACTTTTCCACACTTAACCATGCTCTACTATTACACACAAAGTTATCCCAGCAGAGGAAGGGCTAAAGGCATATAACAAGCAATAATCCCAGTGTTCTCCACCAATTCTAGTATCTCTAGCCCAGTGAAGACAACCAAGCAAACACATTTTAAAGTGCAATTAGGAGCTGGGGGAGTCCTGAGTCACTGTTCTTATGAGGAAGGTCTGAGTTCATGTTTGCAGAGTCTCAAGTCTGTTTTCTTTTATCTCCTCCACATTCCAAGTGCAGGGACTGGAAAATTCAGAGCTCAGAGACAGGCTCTGATGCACTTCCTAGAATCAGGGTCTGAGAGTCATGTTTAAACCACCAAGAAGATAAAGGTGGAAGGCGCGCAGATACAGACTCTTGGGTGCTTAATGTAAAACTAAAATAGTTCACACCTTCAAAAGAAAACAAATTCCCCCTGACTTCCCATTTTAGAAGTTTAGTTGATAAAGTTAAGATATTTTTAAAGAATGCAGAAAGCTGCATTTCCTTTCACCCTCAGCAGTTGGCTATGGAAGAACAATTTACTCACGTATCTTTTTTTGCTGGTTGTTTTGTTTTTTGTTTTCAAGACAGGGTTTCTCTGTGTAGCCCTGGCTGTCCTGAAACTCACTCTGTAGACCAGGCTGGCCTCGAACTCACAGAGATTCTATGAGTTCTGCCTCTGTCTCCTTAGTGCTGCCACCATTGCCTGGCTTCCTTGTATAACTTAAATCACAAACAACAGACATAACTAAACCAAGGAATCACCTAGGAAGCTTCTAAAACATCAACACACACACACACACACACACACACACACACACACACACACACACACACACAACCTTGTCGCAGGCCCTCCAGCCAAATAGTGTGCAAACAGCTGTTCTGTAAGCCCCACCTCTCAACACTCACCAGCGCACTCAAGAAACACACCACTACTGCTCAAAGGGAAAGTCTAAAGCATAAAAATGTTGTTATGCCTTTCAAACAGTTGCTACAAGAGATATTTCTATGAACAGAAGCATTTTTAACATTCTAAAACTATTTTAGAAAACGTTAAAAAATATATGCTAAGAAAACAGGATTTATTATCAAAAAAAAAAAAAAATACTTCTGTTTAGTCTAGATGGTAACTATTCCTGAGAGACTGTTTTTCTTAGAGTTAACAGTCTCTTGTAAGTTATTTCAAGTGAAAACTTAGATGAAACATTGCAAAATATTTTCCCATGTACCTTTGTTAAAGTTTTTTAAAATGTCAAATTTACGACTGATATGTAGGTAACCTAAGTATGCAAATCACTCTGAAGTTAAAGAGTATTCTTTTGTACTTCTGTCTTGCGTATATGCACGTACGCCATGTGCATGCCTGGTACCTGTGGTGGTCAGAGGGGGCATCCGGCCTTCATAAGTTCTTTCTAAGGTAACTAATAAAGCGCACGCACTGCTGCTAGAGAGACGACTCAGGAGCTGAGTCAGCTTCCACTTTGTCAGGGGACTACACTACACGAGGTAACTCCAGTCCCCTGCCTCTGATGCCCTCCGATGGACTCCAGGGGCCCCGGCGTACATGCAGGGTACAGACATAAATGTGGGCACTCACATACATACATACATAAAATGAAAATAAATACATCTTTAAAACAAATGGTCACGTTAAGAAATAAGAGTGACCAATGAAGATGAAAATACATAATACAGACGAGAGCTGAGATTAATGAAATAGTAATCAAAAGAACAATACATAATATCAACATAACTAAAGAAATGGCTCAAACCAGGCAGTGGTGGCACATGACTTTAGTCCCAGCACTTGGGAGGCAGAGGCAGGCAGATCTCTGAGTTCGAGGCCAGCCTGGTCTGCAGAGCCAATTCCAGGACAGGTTCCAAAGCTACACAGAGAGACCCTGTCTCGAAAAACCAAAACAAACAAACGAACAA